TCTCCCACTCCCCCTGCTTGCGTTCCCTCTCTTGCTGTGTCTCTGTCAAATAAATAAAATCTTTAAAAAAAAAAAGTGGCAAAGTGTTCAGAATTGGTACCTCTGTGAATGTTTTTAGCAGCTTATTTGTAATGGCCAAGAAGTGGAAACAACCTAAATGTTTATCACCTGATGAATGGATGCATAAAATGAATGCATATCCCCATAAAATGGAATGTTATTCAGCCTTAAAAAATGAAGTAGAAAAAAAAGTGATGAAGTAGTGATCCATGCCACAATATGGATAAACCCTGAAAATACGCTAAGTGAAAGAAGCCAGTCACAAAAGACCATGTATTATGGGATGTCATCTATATGAAGTGTCCAGAACAGGCAGATCTAGAGAAAGAAAGCAGATGGGTAGTTACCAGAGGCTGCAGGGGTGCGGGGAGTGAGGAGTGACTGCTAACAGAGAGAGTCTTAAGGGGGACAGAAACACTCTAAAATTTGATGGTGGTGATGGTTGCACAATGCTGCATATACTAAAAACCGTTGGAATTATACACTTCAAATGGGTGAATTGTAAGAGTGTACAAAAATTGCCATTTTCTTACAGTTTTTCTATAGGTTTGAAACTATTTCAAAATTAAAAATTAAAAATAAATAAAAGACAACGTGACCTGAAATCTCAACATCTCTGTTTTGCGTTGTCAGCATAACAGCGTGATGGATTCCTATACTTTTTCCATGACAACGGAACTCTGCTGTTCATACTGTTTTGCATCCAGCTTTTTTGCCTCCATAGATGATGAATGCCTTTCCATGTCAATCAGTAGAAACTTAATAGTCCAGCGTACACTTGTGCCTCAGTTTCCCCACTCAGGCTTTTCTTGGTGCCCATCTGCACCATCTCCAGTTTGTACCATAGCAGCGATGCACATCCTTGGAACTAATCATTACATGCGTCTTTTAGTCCTTTGGATAAAAATGGAATTGATGGGTTAAAAAAAATATGCTTTTATTGACAGAGAAGCATGAACTTTATGATTAGATTTATTAAAAATTATGAAGGTGAAAAAATGAAGCAATTAATTTAAAAAAAGTGTAATATTACTCCTTCTTAGCTTTGAGCTGAATAGTACGTCACAGGAATTTAAATTCTGACCACTGAACTGGGTCTGAAACTTGGTCTGTAATTACACAGCCAGGATGAGGGTGTGAGGGCCTGTGCTACATGTGTGTAAGGAGAAGGAGAGCTGTAGGAATTAAAGCCTCATTTGTCCTCACAGAAGTTAAGTGATGTCCTAAAGGGATATTAAAAATGGCATTATAAGCATAGAGGAATAGAGGTAAATATCAGAATGAACCGTTCTTTTTTTTTTTTTTTTTAAAGATTTTATTTATTTATTTGGCAGAGAGAGACACAGCGCGAGAGGGAACACAAGCAGGGGGAGTGGGAGAGGGAGAAGCAGGCCTCCCGTGGAGCAGGGAGCCCGACGTGGGGCTCGATCCCAGGACCCTGGGATCATGACCTGAACCACCCAGGCGCCCCCCCCCCTTTTTTTTTTTTTAAAGATTTTATTTATTTATTTGGCAGAGAGAGACACAGCGCGAGAGGGAACACAAGCAGGGGGAGTGGGAGAGGGAGAAGCAGGCCTCCCGTGGAGCAGGGAGCCCGATGTGGGGCTCGATCCCAGGACCCTGGGATCATGACCTGAGCCGAAGGCAGACGCTTAACGACTGAGCCACCATTTATTTGAGAGAGAGAGAAAGTGAGAGACAGAGCATGAGCGGAGGGGCAGAGGCAGAGGGAGAAGCAGGCTCTCCGCTGAGCAGGGAGCCCATTGCGGGGCTCAAGCCCAGGACCCTGGGACCATGACCTGGGACCATGACCTGAGCCAAAGGCAGACGCTTAGCCAACTGAGCCACCCAGGCGCCCCTAGACTGCCTTTTTTTAAATACAGTTTCCTTTGTAAAAACAAGGTATATTCTTAAATAAAAGATGTACCTATATTATAATACCAGTAGATAAAAATTTTTCTTCTTTGAGAGCGTAAAGGGATCTGTGTTTGAAGTGTTGAATGAGGCACTTTTCCCCATAGCCCAAAGAGATCACTTGGAGCCCCTCGCGAGTGTTCCCGCCTGTCCGAGCCTGCATGTTCTCATCGCATCTTACTTCTGTCACCTTCCTGGCTGACCCCAGCGCTGGGGGCGGTCTGCCCCGGGGCACATTTATCTATGCCACCTCACCACTACCCGTTCAGGTGAGAAATCACACGGCCTCTTGCCTCTTTCCTTCCTCTTTGAGAGAAAAAGCAAATTCCAAGGGCCCAAGTGGAGTCCTCTGATTGCCTGCCCATTTCTTTTGTTTCCTCAGGCCCCATCTTTTTACTGGGAAATTGAAATTGTTTCCTATGGAGATACTGATGACGACACTGGACCAATCGTTTCCTTTGGCTTTGCTACAGAAGCAGAGAAACGAGATGGGGCTTGGACTAATCCAGTGGGCACTTGTCTTTTCCATAAGTAAGTAGCTACTATTGCTGTCACTAAAAAAAAAAAAAAAAGTAGTGGGTGTGGATGTTTGTGGGTGTTTTCATACTAAAATAATATAATCTCAATCTCCAAAAATACAAAATACCAGTCGGAAATATATTCAAGTTTAGGCAAAGAGAATAGCTCTTAGGGTTTCCCTTCTAAGTCCTCTTGTGCTACTGAAGCCCCTGGGCCTGTTCACTATGTAACTGCCTCTGTGTTGGCCAGGCAGCCTTGGCTTTGACTTTGCTTTCTTTCCTAGCAACGGCCGAGCCGTGCACTACAATGGCTCCAGTTTATTACAGTGGAAGAGCGTGCGCTTGGATGTGACTCTCTCTCCTGGTGAGTGTGGCGGGAGCTTCTTTTTTAGCCTGTGTATTTCTTTTGTTCCCAGATTTTGTCTAAATAGGTTAAAAGTAAAGAAACTTAGCAACTAGAAATGGGCAGTTTGCCTTTCAGTGAAAGCCAAGTACTTGTCATTGCTGTCTGCTAGTTTACACCAAACCGTTCCTTTCGTGAGGCCATTATCACTGAGACCCTCCATTTGGTAAGGTAGGAATCACATTCACTTTTGTTTCTGCATCATTAGAAAAACCTGAGATTTTTGCTTCTCTTTGAAGTTTAGTCTTTTGTCAGCTTTTCATTGATCTAGCAGATAAATAGGTTCAAAAAAAAAAAAAGGTCTACCACTAGCCCTGAGGCACTCACAAAATGCGTTAGGAGTAGCTAACGTGCTGTAGACTTTGTTCTCAGGAGCCTAAACATCTGGTCCTGCTTCAGCACATCTGCCCAGAAGTTTCAGTCACATAGACCGTCAATTCAGTTAAAACAATGACAATAAACACCCTTTTCCCTCTTTTTTTTAGCCTCCGTATAAGTGTCTTGCTCTGTATAGATGAATTGGGATCAGTCCTACCTACTCCAGCAGAGGAGCAAAATGTAGGCATTGTCCTCTTGCCATTAGAAGCCCCCAGACGTGTTGGCTACTTAGTTTCAGACAGTACATCTTAGCATCATTTCTGAGGAAGCTGAAATTGTCCTACATGGTAGATGGTCTGGGCTGCTCAGATGGGGAAGAATAAGTCACTCCATCCATCCATCCATCCAACCTCGCACAGCTGGCTGGGGGTAATTTTGCCATCACTTAACTTAGGGAGCTGCTTGTTTTTTTGGTTTTTTTTTTAAAGATTTTTATTTTTATTTATTTGAGAGAGAGCATGAGCAGGGGAGAGGCAGAGGGAGAGAGAAAGGGAGAAACAGATTGTCTGCTGAGCAGGGAGCCCGATGTGCGGCTTGATCCCAGGACCCTGCGATCATGACCTGAGCCGAAGGCATACACTTAACTGACTGAGCCACCCAGGCACCGCAGGGAGCTGCTTGTTAAACTGCACATTTCGGGGAGTGTAGTGTTTTCAGTTATGGTCAAATTATGATTTAGACATAATTTCCTGGCAGTTACTTCTCATTTTCTGGAGCAGAACTTGGACATTTCAGCTGAGTACTTAAGTGTTTTCAGCACAGAGGAGCATTTGGGGAGCATATGGGAACCATAGGCAGGGTTTTTATTCTCATTTGTTTTGTTCTCATTTGTTTTGTTTGGTCACATTTGCTGTTTGAGAAAGTTTTGTACTGGACCTCAAGCACACATGCTATGTGTCTGGGTAGGAATCAAGAACTCACTTTTTACAGCAGAATCTCAACCTCTGTACCAACACTTCTAGTGTCTACTCATCAGTAGATACTTGCTGGCCATTTCCTATGTGCCGGGTACTTTTCTGGGCCCTGGAGATGCCACGGTAAACAGTGATAAGTCCCCAGCCTTTGGGAAGCCCATCCTAGCGGTATCTGAAGCATTGGAAACTCTGTAATCAAAAGCAGAATCGTAGAACTTCATGCACTTCCTGAAGAGTTCACAGTGAGAGACTAATCACATGGCTCCGTATGTGAGCAGTGGGCCTGAAGCAGCCAGCATGTGAGCGCCGATGAGGTGGTCTCTGAGCTCTGTCCTATTCTCTTCCTCATTGTAAAGCAGCTTGGCTTGTCTTAGCTTCCCGAAAAAATGCCTTAAATACATATAAGTAGCAGGCGGGACATAATGTGATTTAACAGTGTACCTCTAGCTTACATTATGGGTTGGGTTTTATATTACTAAGACCATTTCTAAATCTTCCACAAACGTACTGAGAAAATACTACCTTTTTACCTTTGTGCCATAAATAATTTTCCACGTGTCAAAAGAGAAAAACTTGTATCTATTTAAAAAAAAAAAAAAAAAGTACCCAATGTTTTCCCTTTGTCTTGGCTGCCAGGAAAATAAAGGCTAAATTTAATGTGTAATTGTGGTAACTAACTCGGCATTTTCTTCTGAATAGCTTGACTTCTCTTTTTAAAATGATTTCTGTTGTGTTACTTTATATTTACTCAAGTACAGTACGTAACTGCAGAGCTTTTTCAGATATAACTAGTGGCATAAAGATAGTCAATGATATGTGGCCTCATGAAACTGGTTGCAGTTGGGAAGTTTATTTAATAATGAGTGAAAGGGAAATCCAGATGTCTCCTTCCTCTTCTCTGCCGCAGGTGATGTGGCAGGAATTGGCTGGGAGAGAACTGAGGGGACCCCCCCTCCTCCGGGGCAGCCAGCCAAGGGCCGGGTATACTTCACATACTGCGGGCAGCGCCTGTCCCCGTATCTCGAAGACGTCTCTGGTGGGATGTGGCCTGTGGTTCACATTCAGAAGAAGGCAGGTTATCTTACTGGGAAGGAAAACAAATTCTCCTTAGTAATTTGGGTGTTGCCCAGCCACGCTGGGGAGGGCAGTCTACTCGCCTGAATCCACCATTCAAATGCTGATCTCATCCAGAGGCCCCCTCCCAGACACACCCCATAATAACGTTTAGTCTGGCATCCTGTGGCCAGCCAAACTGACAGTAAAATTAGCCATCACAGTACAATTGCATGGAGGCAAATCTGACCATGTCCCCATTACCTTGAAGAAGCAATGCTTGAGCCAGGTCTGGACTATTAACTGGTCTTAACTTGGCAGAATCTGAGGAGAAAAACGTCCCCAGTGAAGGGAGCAGCTTGTGCGGTGGCATCAGGCAGAAAGGAACAGTGTTGGAAACAGGAAAAGTCGCTGTCTGAGTAGCATAGGGTTGGGAGAGTGAGGCGAGGG